ATAGACAAATTATGCCTTCACAAATCTTAGAGATGGGTAAAGTAACTTTTTAAAGAAAGCCTTTCTTAAATAGGAGCAGTGACTTAAGTCCTTTCTGTGTCCCTAGCCGTGTAAGCCCCAGCACCTCTGGCACCTGGATGGCAGGCCTCGGGTCTCCCACATCCCAGGACGGTGATGGAGGAAGGGCAGGTCAGGCCAAGCATGAGGAATAAATCATCTTTAATGCGTCCACCCTGGGAATCCCTGGGTACTGAGGATCTCTGTATTTTGGTCAAATTCCTTCTCCATGTTCTGTTTGGTTGGTTTCTGTAACCTCATGAGCTGTTCTAATGGATCTTGGCCTTTACCTTCCTCTTCCCCTCCAGGATGGCTGTCAGCTCTTGGTACTTCCAGCCAGTGTTGTGAGCCAGGCATCCCAGGTGGATGAACTTTCACGGAGGAGGAGACACACAGCCTCGAGGGCAGTAGGAACCACCAACTGCTTTGTCTTGTCACAGGGTGGTGGGGTCCTATCCAACACCCTGAGGTAGTCAGGACGGCCTGGCCTCAGTCTGATGGGCAGCATGTCCCTACTGTTCACCCAGAGATGTGGTAGGGGCCACAGGACTGGTTGGTGTTCATCCACTTGCTGAGGGAGGCCAGGTATTCTAACTTGTTTCTCTAGAAATTGCCAGAAAGGTTCATTGCCCTCACAGTGCACAACCACCATCTTCTAGCCCAGCAGTAACCGCTTGGCAATGATGGGCCATGATGGGTTCCTGGGGGTCACGTAGCACCAGACCTGCCTTTCTGCCATTTTTGGCAGATGCCTGGGGAAACCCTGGTTTTTTTCCCCATCCAACAAACATTTATTGAACACCTATTACTTTTGTTATACAGGTCTGTGCACTGAAAATACACCTGTGAAATTCATGGGCCTTAGTATCATAGTGAAAGAGACAGAAAATTAATGTACAAATAGGTAATAATAAGTCTGATGTGGATCAGTACCACACAAGAAAATAAGGTAAGGCGGGGAGGTGGAGAGAAATGCGGGGTGCTGTGTTAGGTAAGGCGGTGAGGGAAGGCCTCGTGGATGAGCTGACCCTGAGCGGGGACTTGAATGCCAAGTAGCAAGTCATGTGGGCAAAGACAGAACACGTGCGCAGGGAGGGCTCTGTGTGTTGGAGGAATGGTAAGTTGGATTGGGAGGCAGAAGAAGGCAAGAGTGACACCGAACAGGGCTTCAGTAAGGCTTTTGAATTTTATTCTAAGTATTTTGGAGGCCATTGGTTGGTCTCATGCAGGTGAACATTTTAAAAGGCCAACTTGGCTACGGTGTAGAGAATGCATTGCTGGCGGAAGCAAGACACCAGTCTGGAGGCTGCTGAAGCCCAGACAGGAGATAATGGTGTCCTAGGTGAGGCAGGTGGTGGGAAGGGGCCAGACTCAGGCTGTGTTTTGAAGACAAACTAGGCTGGACCTGCTGATGGACTGGATATAGGGTGTGAGTGAAAGAGAAGAGTCAAGGGGGACCTGAGGTTTTCTTGTGTATGTATTCACCAGAAGATGCGCTGACCTTCGGGCAGGCGTGTGCTAGGCACCGGTGATGTGAAAATGAACAAGACACAATTAAGGGCCTCAAGGAACTCCTCGTGCACAATTTCAGATTTCTAGCCTTCCAGATGCAAGTACGGAGTGCTGTGGGGTGGGCACACAGGAGAACAGATTGTTCTGTGTTTGAGACGTGGAGATGGTTTCAGTTTAACTTTAAAGGGAGCACAGAACGCGACGCAGAAAGTACAGAAGAGTATTCCAGAAAGTGGGATCAGCAAGTGCTCAGTGGGTTGTGGGGATGCTGAGAGGTGTCTGGGGTAGTGGAAGAAGAGAAGGCTGGGAGAGCAGGCTGGGGAGAACGTCACCCTAAAGACAGTGGGGAAGCTTTCAAGCAGGAGAGTGGTCAGGGTGGGGGATCCCCCTCCTTATCTTACAGGTGAGTCATCCGCTGATATTGACAAAGAAATTACACATGAACTAAGACTTATTCGATGTGTGTTTCTTCCATCAGAGTATCATGTTGTCTTAGATTCTTTTATAAAAAATGGAATTTCCTTTTCTCTTATTGGTACTGGCAAACAGAAGCATGGTCGCTCTTCGGGCAGAGAAAAACTATTAATCTTGCTGTTAATGAATATTTATTGAACATCCACTCTGTGCCAAGCACTGTGTCGACTGCTGGGAATTCAGCATGAATAGGATGACATTGCTGCCCTTGCAGAGCTTGTTACGTGAGGTAGATATAGAACAAATGATTGCAAATGTGATGTATCATCAAAAGAAAGTTAAGGAAAGCAAAGGGTGCTCCAGAAGCATTTAATGGGGTGCTAACTGCGTTTAGGAGCTCAGGGAGGCTCCCCGAGGATACGGTCTTGAAGTGAAAACTAGATGGATTAAAATTTTAGTAGCAGTAGCAACGTCATCCCCTAGTTCTTCAATAATGAGCCTTTTTTTCAAGTGGTTGCTTCTCTTCTTCTTTGAATCACGCCCAGCTCTTGCCTACTTTGAAGAGAGAAAAAAACCCGTATCTCTCACTTTCACATACCCCAAACTAAGCTTTTCATTATGTTCCACAGTGAGCCACACAATTCGGACTTCCCTGCACTCAGACATGCCCACGCTCATTCCTGGGTTCAGGTTCTGGGCCGTGGGCATGATCCTGGAGCGGGCTCCGGAGAGACCACCAGGGTCGAAAGCTAGCCCGTGAGCTGTAGTAGGACGGGAAGAGGGAACGATGATGAGCTTCCTCATCGGACGGACATGCAGAAGACCACGGAGTCCATTCAGCAGGTGCTGGAGACTCACTGGAAGGTTCGAGCCTCACCTTGTAATGGCAGGATTCATGAACACGGGTGACAGGAAAGAGTACAGAAATCTAGAGTTGAGGCAGCGTAGATTTACATCTTAGCTTTACTACTGACCAGCTGTGTAGCTTTGGGCAGACTACTCAACTTCTCTGAGCCCAAACGACACATTATCTACCTCAGACATCTGTTATGAAAATTAAAATTGCCCATGCTTTTGTAAAGGTTAAGTGAGCATCTGCCACAGTTTTGGGCACATGGTAAGCAGTTGTAAATAATCATGGTAACGGTAGAATGAAACAAAGCAAAACCCCAAACCGCTAACATTCGCTGGGCACTTATTCTTAATGTTAAATGCTGTGCGTGCATTCTGTCATCCAAATGTCATTCCCTCAGAAAGGACCAGAGCCCAGGAGGCATCCGGATAAAAAGGGCAGTCATGGAAGCAGGCAGAGGCTGTGGCTCGCATATCGGCACCGTCTGCACCTGGCCTGGCTGGGATCACATGCCTCTCTGAACTTAGGACTCCAGGGCTGCTGTAACCTTAGCTCCAATTGCGTGTCCCTGGTTATTACACCCTTTTGCCCCCATCAGGCCGCTGATGATGCCAAAGAACTTTACTCCCTACCCATGGGGTTGTGAAAGCCTCCTCCAGCATCTCCCCTGCTTTGATCATCAAGCACAAAGGATGATACTATTTGAAACCCTCGGAGCCCTCATCCATGTTCAAGCTATAGTTCCCACGGAGTGTGGGGGGCAAGGGGCGGTATGGCGCAGGGTGTGGATAGTGGGGCTTGACACCATAACGGAGGCCAGCTGAAGACACAAGGTGGTCTGGGACGAGGGGGGTGGGGGGGGGCTGTGGGAGGCAGTGAGTCTGCCTCACCTTAAAAAGGAGAGTTTGGGCTGGGTTTTGATAAATGCTGCCCATGAATTTTTAGCTCTGCAAATAGAATCTCAGACCTTCCTAGAGACAAGCCAGTGGGTATCAATTTCTGTAGCACTTAGGGCTCATACATAATGTCTGATTTCAAGCGGGTTGAATTTCATTTTAGCAAAAGATAAGGCTTTTTATTGAAGTCACTTCTCCAGAAATAAAACAGAACTGAGGAAAAATACGAGAAACTTGATTTGACTATCGCTGCAGAGGATGGTTCATCTGGGCGCTGGATTTTAACAGGTCTGTGCACTTACAGCAAAAGCCGCACGTGCCAGGAAGTCGTGCTGAGCGCTAGTGCAGCGGCCTAAATAGGGGGCTGCAGACGGGCAGGGGGCCGAGGCCGGCCTGCGGAAACGATAGTGGCCGTTGGGTGCAGAGGGGTTGTTGGTGAGCTGCTGGCAGCGGTGCAGACCCCAACACGAAGCCAAATTTGTGCAGCGGTCTCCCTCTGAACGACACCCATCTGCTGAAGGAGGCGGAGCTAGTTCCTGGGCTGCGAGCGGACTTGTAGTCTAAACGCTGGGCCCCTTGTGGCGTCACAGGGGTAGACCCCTCAGCTTCACTATCACCTCCTCAGAGGCCTCTCTCACCACCCCGTCCAAAGTGGTGCTTTCCTGGCTCAGCGCCTTGGTTTCTCTGACAGCATTTACTACAGCGAATTTGTGTGTGTCTCTCTTCCTAGAATATAAATTCTCCTAGACAGCGCCTGTGATCTGTCTTGTTCCTGGTTGCACCTTCAGCCTCTAACGGTGCTGGGCACATAGGACTGCGTGTTCAATGAATATCAATTGAATGAAAAATAAATAGATCAGAGATTGCTCATTCCCCTTTCTTGAAAGTGGAACGGGAGCCAACCTTAGTAATTTACAGAAACGTGGAGAAACCTGATATATTTGTAATAAATGCTTATGAATTCTAGGGGAGAAAATTTGCCACCCCAAAATGTATCTCTTTGGCATGAGGATTATTTTAGGCTGATTATTATTATTATTTTTTTAAAGATTTTATTTATTTGACAGAGAGAGACACAGTGTGAGAGAGAGAACACAAGCAGGGGGAGTGGGAGAGGGAGAAGCAGGCTTCCTGCTGAGCGGGGAGCCCGATGTGGGGCTCAATCCCAGGACCCTGGGATCGTGACCCGAGCCGAAGGCAGATGCTTAATGACCGAGCCACCCAAGCACCCTAGGCTGATTATTTTTAAGAAACAAAGACTCAAGAAGTTTTTTTTTTTTTTTTTTTACCTCCCCCGTAAACTGCCCAGAAACATTTAGATGGGGGTGCCTGCAACAAGAAGGAGAGCTATCACCAAAGATAACTTTGTTTTATATTAGAAAGACTTGTCTGCCTGGCGTGGCAAACATCTGCTCTTCCCATCCTCCTGTGAAATGCCCTCCTCTCCTTGGACACCCCAAACCTCTCTCCTCTTCTCCTTAGCTCAGGTACCACATAAGCTTCATCTGCCTGACTGCCTGTGGGTCTCATATTCTTATGGGGCCCCTCTGCATATGTGGCTCAATCTGTCTTTCTCCTGTTAATCTGTCTGATTATCACCTTATTGTCTGGTTAGGCCGCCAGAAGAATCTACAAGGGTAGAGGAAAAAGTTTCCCTCCCTGAGAGTTGGCAGAGTCGGCAGGATTTACGTCCTTGTAGGGATACTGCTCCCTCTGAGGCTGCTACAGCTGAGAGGTCCTGACGTGTCTGACAAGTACCAGCAGAAGATAAGAATTCTTTCCATGAAGGCTTCCCAGATCTCTGCCTGCAAGGTCTCTGTTGGAAGCATGCATGATGAGAATCCTTTTTTTTTTTTTTAATTTTTCTAAATTTAGTTTAGCAGGATAAAATATTTATGGAACTAATTGCTCGCCACTCTGGTTAAAAAAAAGAAAAAATTGGTAATGAGCACTACTGGTTTTTATCGATCCTTTCCCTCCCAAAGATGGTCAGTGTTTTTCTCTGTCTCTGTTTTTGTGTCATTTGTCCTAAGGAGGAGAAACCATCATTCGGGCAGAACGCAGGCAAAGGCACTACAAGCCTGCTGTTCAAGCTGGCCTCACAGACTGGCGAGCTCGTGGTTACCAGACCCGCATCTGCTGAAACAAACTTGGCTGTGAGTCCCCTGTGTAAAAACTGGATGAGGTTTTTCCTTTCATCTTATTCTATGTCCTGAGAGCTTGGCTCTGTGACTAGTGAGAATTTCTCTCTGTTCTCCACCATCGGGAAGGTACGTCTACTGGTGTATGTGGGTGGCCAGGGGAATAGCCTGGGGTTCTGTGACACAAAGTCACAAGCAGCACTGTCTTCACCCAGCCATGCCAGCTCTCAGGGGAGTTTGCCGTAAAGGGCCCCAGTCCTTAAGAAGCTTTGGTAGCCTCCACCTTAGTTTCTTTGGTAGTGCTGGGGAAGGCTCGTTTCAGTAGCACCTGCCTGGTGTCTCAGATGAGCAGGTTTGTAGCTGGAGGCATCTCACGTTCTTGCAGGAAACCAGGGACACTGCTGTCACTACACCATCCTTACCACCTGTGCAACTAAGGCTTTTGCTTTCCTAGACAACCTTTGGCAGTGAACCTGCTGGATCTCGTGAGGGCTGCGTATTTTGCATTCTCTTTTGGAATGCTTTTTGCGTCCTCGGTCAAGCCATAGAGAAGCTTATTAGAGTCGCTGTTGAGATTAATAGGTCCCACTTGTCGATGGCCAGAGGATGGATCTTTTGAATTGGGAAAACTTCTATATTTGAGAAATTTTGGAGAGCTCTCATCCTAAACTATCGCCTTATTGGCACCTGTGGAAAAGACCAAATTAAAAAGTGGATACAACGAATTATAATGGCTAGCCTTCGGTACTCCTTTTTATGAGATGAAAGAACAGAAATTAGACTTAGAACAGAAATTAAAACTCCGCATTCAATGTAAATTCTTCCTCCTTAAAATCCAAAGAATTAAGCATGCCACCTTTCAGCACACCTGCTTATTTTATGTCTAAAAACTGCTGTTCCAGAACCTGTAGGTACGAAAAACAATCCTACTAAGCTTGTTCTGTGTCCTAAGAGCTTGGCTTGGCTTTCTATCTGCCCGAGACCTACAGGGTCTTGGTTCTTTTGACTATCTTTGGGAGTGACTCTGGATCTTGAGAAGGTAGTATCCTTGCACCCTCTTTGAAGACATCTCTTCATGCATGAAGTTGTTCCATATTGCCCAAATATTTACCACTTGTCCCAGCTAAAAACTGACAAGATATTTAAAATTTTTTTTGGGGGGGGAAAGGGTAGAAGTTCTCTGGCTAAAAGTTGATTAGAAGTTGGAAGTGGATGTTCAAAGCCAGATAGGATTTTGTAAAGTCTCTTCTCCAAAGCTGAAAGGAAACCATGTGCCCACAGGAAGAGAAGCAAATGGATATGATGTATCTGGATGAGTAGATCAGCCCTTTGATATCATTTAGGCTGCAACTCAATTTCTTGGAAAAAAAAAATTGAGAACAACTGTTCTCATAAGTCTTTGCAAAACTAAAAAAAAAAAAAAATGTAACTCTAGAAGCAATCCAAGGTCCATCTATTCCTTTTTACCAATCTTAAAACTTCTCCTATTTATCTCAAAAGGTTTGTGATTTATTGGCCTTAGGAAACCCAAGTCCTTCTTGGAGGAACTTCCATTCTTTCTTTGTCCCTTGAAGATGTAAATCTTACTATATCTTTGAAATGTAAACACCCCAGGAGGTATCTAAAATAATTCCCATATTTACCTAAAAGTAAAGGGGAAAAAGGAAAAGAAATGCAAAGAAAAAGAGGCCTTTTAAAAAATACAGATTCCTTCACAGTTTCCATAAGATTACTGGGCAAGGACAAATACAAATCAGCCACAAATCAGGCATCTTCACTAATATGAATAGTAAAAAGCTTTAGCCACCTGAGTGGGTAAACTTAACTTATAAACTAGTGAGGTTCTGTTATATCTAATGCATTGCTAAATTTTTAAAATTAAAAGCTACAAGATCTGTTTGTATGTATGTATGTACAATATAGATATGATATTTTTCTACCCCCGGATGGCATTGCCAAAATTAATTTGTAAAAGAGCTCTGTTTATTGATTGGCTTAAAATTAAGGGCTTATAAATTAAGCATTTCTAAGTCTCAGGAATATGACAGAAACTAACCCTAATGTTTTTCAAATTTATGTGATCTAGGGTATTTTCAGTTAAGTTTGCTGGTTTAATTAATACAGACATGTCTTTAGAGTTATCCACATTAAGCATAGTACTTGTATTCCACTAAAAGTCAAATAAATTCATGTTATTTTTTTTACAAAATTTGTGAGCAAAAAACCAACCAAACAAAAAACAAACGAAAGAAAATCTTAAGATGATAGCTAATTGATTTAATATCTCATGAAATTTTCATGAGTAATTGAGGTATGATTGTTAAGAACAAATGAATTAAGTAGATGTGAGTGAAGTTAAGAGTTTTTAGGTGAACTTTTTTTTTTTTTTTTTTTTTGCAATGATTTCTTTACGAAATGTTTACTTAGTTTCCCAAATCTCTTTGGTAACTTCCGCCCATAGAATTTTGTTAAGTTAAATTAAATGATGAGAATTCATTGACTGTCTAGATCATTTCCAAGTAAAATAAAATACTGAAACATTAATTGCTAAACAAGTCTAAGTTTACCTATTTTTGTCCTCTTATTGCAGGGAAACTAAAGATGTTTGGGTGTGTTAGTAAATATGTCTTGTACCACACTGGAAGACTGTATTATGGAAGAGGGGCATAGGCCTGTGTGCTGTGGGGTCTCTGGGATGGTTTTCTTACATTGCAGGATGGAGCCTTCATTTCCTGGACAGTTGCCATGTGGGTTAGGCTCTGCTTTCTCAGGTTGCTGGTCATGTTGGATTAAGATCCACCCTAATGACCTCATCTGAACATGATCCCATCTGCAAAAATCCTCTTTTGATGTCAGGTCTCATGCATAGGTCCCCAGCTGTGTCCACCATGTGCCCTGAAGTGTCCAAACCCTGGGAATGATCCAACGGAGCCTGCTGTGGGTTCAGAAGAGCTGGCTCACATGCTCATTCTCAGCACATCTTATGCCCTCTTGCTTCTAGCACCTCTGGGCCTTTTCCCAGGTGTATGGGAAAGTGAAAGCAGAACAAAGGAGGACAGTGACTAAGCAACTCTCCAGCACAAGGAAGGTGAGAGTTGGAGACTCACCAATGAACAGGGTCACTCAACCTGCTGTTACCTAGTCCATTTGTGGTCACCAAAAAGATGTTGCTGGTTGAACTGGGGCATCCCCAGGCCCTGGGTCCTTGACCGAACCAGACCCAAATTAGTTGCCGAAGGTTCTAGGTTTTGTCATGAGAAGGGATTCAAGGACAGGCGTGCAGCAGAATGGATGAGTAACAGAAGCAGAAATTTTCCTATTCTTTGACTTGGTTGTGTCTTCTGGCTCAAGACTCAGCGATAGGTAAACCCAATTTTGGGAAATGTTAGTATTCACTAGAAATTAAAGCTTCTTTCTTTTTTCCCTCTGTCCTTCCTCCCTTCCTCCCTCCTTCTCTTTCTCTCTTCCTTCGTTCCTTCGTTCCTTCCTTCCTTCTTCCTTTCTTTCAAGTGATCTCTACATCCAACGTGGGGCTCAAACTCATGACCCCCAGATCAAGAGTCACACATTCTACCAACTGAGCCAGCCAGGCATCCCTAGTAATTAAGCTTTCTAAGGATTAAGAATTCCAAGCTTTCTACAGGTTAAGAATTCTAATTTATATATATAAAAATGTTTATATATTATATATATATATATATATAAAATTAAAGCTACTAGAAATAATAAGGGAAACGTCTTGAAAGAGGACTTTAACAACCTCCATTTTGACCATAGTCTGTACATTCTAACTTGGTGAAGTTCTTTCCAGCTTAACTTTTAACTCAGGCAAAAGATCCTGCTGGCAAAACATCCTGTGATGGGAACTGAAACTACCCCTCAAGCAATGATGACTGCCCTGATGGCCGCAAGACCCAGTGTGATTGACCCCCAGATAGTAATGGACTTGACCTTCACTGCCCACCTGCATGTACCCACCAACCTTTGTCTGACATTTTCCTAATATAAACCAACAAGAATTTTCAACACTTTGGGGACAGTCTTGGAGATGCTAGCCTGCTGTCTTCTTGATGTTGTCCTCACTAAAATAAATTCCATTCTTGTTTCACCACCACTCGTCTCTCTGCCTTTGGATTTTGTCAGCGGCAAGCGGCTGAACCTGGTCTGTTTGGGACTCCTGGAGCAGGTGTTCTTGCACACTAGGGCCCCGATTACCATCTCTGTATGCAAGGAAAGTAAAATGTGTGTTGAGGAAAAAGAAAGTTGTAAGAGGTTTGTGCAAAAGGAATCTTTGGAAAGGAATTTTTTTGTCGCCAGGGCTGGCTAAGACTGGAATGAATTTAATTAAGGGAATAAGCTTTAATATCAAAAGTCAGCTGGTACAAAATTAAAATTTGGTTTTCTCCTTGTTAAAAGGACAAACTGTCTTTTGGACTATTGGTATGCTCTTGATAATAGATTGTGAAGGGTTTTTCATGCCCCTTAATCTGTCTAGAAAACAAAAAATTCTGTGTTTTATCAACATAATGTCCTATGCTTCCTGTTGTCTTAATCTGGTCTTTTGATTACTGAAGAATACTGAATCTTCTCAACATTAAAAGAACTAAGTTTGCTAACAACTATGCAACCATCTCTATTTGCCTTTTAAATCTTTTATTGTCACTTTCATTAAGTGTTGTTTCATAATTATCTGTGATCTGTTGGGGAGGAAGAATTTACTCTGTCCTTCAGGGTCCTTCTAGCTGGACTAAGAGTCACGTTGACATGAGACAGATTAACACCAGAAAATTAAATTTAATAGCAGACATATGGGGAACCCACACAGACATGGAAATTTCAAAGACAGGCAACATGAAGCTTACATGAGCTATAGAGATGGGCAGGGGTCAGAGACTACAAAGGGGAAGGAGATCATTAGCAGGAAGGTAAGAGGAGATGTTTAGAAAACAAAAGTTGCCCTATTATGCAGCTAAGTTTCTTAGGGAAAGAAGAATTTCTGTTACTAGCACTTTTGCTGGTACAAGGAGGAAGTTGAGGGGGTAGATAAAGAGCTTTTCCTGAATCTGCTGGATTTTGAGTTTTAAAAGAACTCAAAATAGAACTTGAAATAAAGTTCAGGCCAAAGTAGTGAGTGTTGGGGTGGCCTGCCCTCAGCCCCTAATTCCTATTTAATCAAATATTCAAACCTTTAGGTATTGTTGACAAACTTCCCAGAATTCAAATTCTAAATGAAGTCTTTTTGACTTAAAAATACCTTTGAGATATGAGATATTCTGTCCCTGGAATATCTCAAAAGATTTGTTCTCTCTTTTTATAAAAGAGAGCTATCAACCTAATTAGGCTTGTTTGTTATGTTAAATTACATGAGAAGCATTTTCAAGTAAGAGATGATAAACTTTCTTAGATTATATTGTATGAGTCAATATTATTAAGTAAGTGTTCTAGAAATTGTGTAAAATTTTTAAGATTCTGATATACTGTTATTAGTCATAATTCTAGTTATTACCTTAAAATGTGTGTGTCACAGAAATAACCAAATTTCCTTGGCAATTTCATTTTAATAAACTCTAATCAGACCTCTAACCAAGCCATTGTTAAGTCTTTTATCATTTGTAGAAGTTGTTCTTTTACTCAGATACTTCTACAAAAGTGTTCCTGCTAAAATGCTTTATTTTCAAGGAGATTCATGGAGATCATGAGCTGAGTCAAAACCAAGAGTTTGCTGCTCAGCCAACTGAGCCACCCAGGCGTCCTGAAAATGTTTTGAACCAGACCTCTAGAAATCTTGACCTCTAGAAATCTTGAAATCTTTCAGAACTCAGAAATAGGTTTATAATTTGCTTCAAATATTAATCATTGTTTTCTCTTTGGTTTCCACAGAAATGATGCTTATTAAATTCTTGATTGCTTGCATAATATAGGCCTAACTTTGACAGCCCATTTATATCACCACTTCCCGAAATGGATTTTATTAAACTGACCTATCCTCAGTCTCGGGACTGAGACTGGTTCAGTGAGATGGAACAACCTACCAGCTCAACTTCTGGACTGTGAAACTTCTTGGTAGCATATTTGCTACTCATTTGCCTGACTGCCAGTGGATCTCATATCCTTATGGGGCCCCTGTATGTACATAACTAAATTTTTTTCATGTTAGCCTGTCTCATGTCAATTTGATTATTAGACCAGTCAGAAGAATCTAAAGGGGTAAAGAAAAGTGTTTCCTCCCCAACAGTATCAGTATTTGCATCTCTGTCTATATTTATATGTGGCATCACTTGATATTATGAAACTCTTATTTGGTTAAATTTTACTGTATTACTGTATTGCTAAATAAAAAGAATTCAAGGATACACACTACATAAAATCTGTAGGGGGGAAATTGTCTGAATTGCAAAGATTTTGCTACCCAAAGTGTCATCCATGGACCAGGAGCACTGGCATCACCTTAGGAGCTTGCTAGAAATACACAATCTCAGGCCTCAATCCCAGACCCACTGAATCAGAATCAGCATCCTTATGAGCTCTCCACTTTGAGAAACTGTGCTCTAAAAGATTCACAATTTAGCTTGTGGTATAACTTTGTGAATTGTAGGGGATAGTTCACTAAAGTCGAGGGAAGAAACAATAGTTTTGATCAAGGCACAGAAGTGAATGATAGTTCCAGAAGGAATAAACTCTACGCTTCACAGGTTGACTTTTGTTTTTAAACTTTAAAGAAAGACTGTTGGTCAGTTAAGTTAGCGGGTGTTTTAACTAAGTATAACTCATGCCGTGTTCCTGTCAGAGTTAACACCATGGAACCATTCAGAATTTCATTCAGGGCAGGACAGCATCCATCCCTTGTCTGACTGGAAAGTGAGGATTTGAATGATGTGTTAATAGTGCTTTTTACTTTTTACAAATGATTCTAACTGATGTTTAATATTCACTTATAGGATTTTTTATGAAGCTGGTAAATTAGTCAGCTGCTGTTAAAAAGAACAGCTCGGAGCCTCTTTATACAGTTGACATATTCTTGAGATGGTCAGTGGTTCAGAAACTGCAGCTCAGTACCTGATTTCTTACTCTTTTTTCCTGGCAACAACTGGAGGGAAGAATTAAAATGATAACAGGCCCTTGCCCGAAAAGCCGAGTTACCAAAAATCCCGGTTCCCTAAATTGGACATATGATTAGCAATGGAAAAAATAAGTGGTCTGATCTCTC